AATGTTGTGTTTTTCTATCATCACCTAACTACGATATGACAATATCTATGATGTTTTTAATTGACATGTTTTTGGGGTGATTTGAAAAAACAAAAGTCAACGAGTAATGCAAAATAACGAAAGATTTTTCTCTTTGTCGAGGATAATGTAATTCGGAAACACATTTAGAAAAAATTTTTTATAAAACCCATTCAGAGATAGCCTTTTCAAACACATTTTTTTTCAAACTTTTTAAATGTTAAACATAGAGAAGCTAGAGACGTGGAGTAGTTTTCAAATGTTATACATAGAAAAGCTATAACTATTTTCTTTGTAACATAGTTTATACCAAAAATATATGAAATTAAATAATTTTTCATGATTTTTCATATGACATCAATATTGCTTATTTCATAAAAAAACCGTAAATATATTAACGTTTACTGAATTGCACGAAAAACTAATTGACACAACAACTATCAAATTTCGATCTCAGATCAAACCAAATCAAATTTCGGTAGTTGTATAAAACAGATACAAAAAAACACATGCACGAACATAAACAGACATCTAATAGGACAAACCAGTTTAGACTAGACTAGACCAAACTTAAAAAGAACAGATAAGATAAGATCACATCAGATTAGACCATTACAAGATGGCATACACCACTTCTTCATCGAATTACACAGTTTACAGACTGTCGTAATGTTATAAGAGACCCCGTTACAATTGTATTGGATAATTGATATAAACCTTATGTATTATAAAAACTTAAATGTTTTGTTTTTAACTTTGCGCAATTCTATATTAGATTATATATTTGAATAAGTAACCTTATTTATTTGTTTGACTGATTTCAAAGGTGGAGGCCCCCACATTTTCTCCATCAGCACCATGTTGATTCCACATTACGGTCATATATGTTACTACATGACTGGATTTATGATGTGAATGATATTTAGGATATTTTTAATTGAACTGATTTTGATTCAGATAGATTCAAACAAGTAGGATCAAACCTTACTAGACTAGATTTAAATAATAGTATATACATTTATCCACAATTCATGAGACTTGACCAGATTTTTTTAAAATTACATATATAATATTGGTGTCATATGAAAGATCATAAAAAGATACGTAGCATTTAATTTGGTATAATTTGTATAAATATTGGAGTTAAAATGAAAAAGTTATGACATTTTATAAAAGAAAGAAGCACTTGCCACATGGCAGCATTTAATTGGATGTATATTACATGTGAAATTGAAATAGACAAGCCAATAGGGTAAATTATATCCTACAACCGGTTGTACCATGTGCTTGGTACAGCCGGGTATTTTTGTAATATTTTGCTGAATCAAGGGTTATTACTGGGGCAAGCTGTGATTTCTATTCGATGAAGTTTTGCCGGACATCTTGCTGCGGACATCTTCATCTTGCTGCAACCTTCTTACAGGAGAGTTACGTTGGAGAAGAAGACTGGGGTGATGCGTCTGATAGACCAATTATATATTGATGTACTTTGATTTGGGAATTCTCCTTTTTTCTTGACCACCCCTAAAATTAGGAATTCTTCTGCTTTGTTTGACTATTGCTAGCATCTGGAACCTAGCTGGGAAGAGAAGTGCGTAATTGAGCTGGTTATTCTTGAATAGAAGAAGGGGGGAGATATGTCATTGGCCGATTATGCGTCTTCATCTTGCTGTGGACAGCTTTTGATTTTTTTGGTGTTCTGTAAACACAAGGGTTTGGGCTACGCTAGACAGGGGCTGGATCGTTGGGTAACACGAAAAGCCGGATTGGACTAATTGCTATTTGGGATTCCATGTTTTTTGCTGATTACTGCAATTTCATTTGTGGATGGTGCTTCTTTATTTATGTTACTAGTTTAGCAACGCGCGATGCGCGTTCGTACAAATGCCAAGATCATTGTAGGCATATTAATCGATGAGGTTAGGTTGAGTGAATATATGAGTAATATAAGTACACTTTTTTTGTACACATTGTTTGTTAGAAATTGATAAAGAAACTTGATGAATAAAATATTTGCAACCCGAATTGTATGTGGGGAAATAAAACAACCAAGATGATTATAACAACCATAATAACAGGATAGGATTCATTGAAGTTCATCAAGTATTGAACAAAAGTAAGACAAATATCAAAAGCTTTTGAGGCAAAATTTCCTAATTTTTTTTAATAGTTCATTAGTTTAGAGCATTCAGACATTTATATTATTAATTCGATATTTTCTTGAGCCATTCATTACATCAATATGTCATTCTATGCTATGCCATTCAAATGTTTTTTATAGTTCATTAGGTTAGAGCGCAACATTCAAATTTGTCTTCTATCTCGCTATGCCATTCAATACATCAATATTTGTGTACCCACTTGCTAATAATCCTTCTCTTAAATTGGGAAGGAGAATCCATCCCAGCACCATGCCATGTTTTGGGGAGATTCTAGCAATACAATCAGTCATCCACACATTAGCCCAAACTTCACCATTTTCTATACATACTCAAGCTCATTGATATATGGCATTTTGTGTCCTTGATATTCAACTGTATGTTTTTTATCACTTTCATAATATGTGGATCAATTTGATACAATGTTGAAGTTCCATCACTCCCATATAAAACTTCTCCATAAGTAGCCAATCCCCAACCATCTTTCATTTCATGAGTAAAGCCCTTAGATTTGCTTATATTATGTCGGTCATATATATAACCAGTATTGTGCAGCCAAGTTACTTTAAACAACCTGTCATCAAGTAAAGTTAAGCCCTCCCCAAAATCAGAATGTTGCATTTCATGTATAGCTTCTACCCCACCAGTTGAAAGAGGAACTCTCCTAAGTGATGAATGTTCATTAAGTTCAACAACAACATCCAATTTTCAGTCCCAAACGAAATTGGGGTCGGTGTCATGTGATTGACTAAGTAATACTATTGGCTGTCACGCGCCTACCACAACACCCTCCTCTTTTATCCTGGCTTGGGACAGGCGTGATACCAAAAAATGATCTCATGGCGGAGTTGAATGTTCATTAAGTCCAGTTGATTCAATAACGTATCATTTTCAGCAATTTGGGACAAATGTAATTAGGTATAAAAGAAAAATTAAATGCAACTCGATTTTCCTATAAGATGTCCCAAAAATAAAGCTAATTATATTGCAAAGCATAAGCATGCCAATAGTTGATATCCCAAGAAGAGATAACTGCCAAAGTAGTATCAAGTATAAAACATAATAGCCATTTTTATGCATTTCGATTTATTGACAATGTTTTTCAAGTAGAATTCATAGTTGCATGGAGAAATTGAAGCAAGTCACAAACAACTGAAGCACCCATTCAAGAGGATTTCAGCAAGAATCCAGTCCGGTTAAGAAATGGGATGCAATAGCTGATAAAAAGGAATAGAGTATTTGAAGTGGAAAAAATGTTGAGAAATGAAAATTTTGAGCCTTGGGACCAAGATACAAAGGCTAAGGTTTGCTTCTGCTTATTCCAGAACTAATAATCAATGAATTCAGCTCCAATTGTGCAGATCTTCTCTGGTAATATTTTTTTCTATCTGGTGCAGGCGGGAATTAGGATGCCATCTTATCAATTATTAACAGAAACAGCTTACCTGCAACGTGTAGTCCATCACTAAGCTGATTGCCCTCCTGATATCCGGCCTCCATTTAGCTGGTCATATAGCTGTTGCTATTCGAGGTAGACACCGGCTTGTCTGTCGAACCTTCATCTGAATCTGTGTCCTACGGCTAAAATATCCCTTCAAAATCTGAAGGGCCTTGATCTGCGGCAATTTTGGCCTATTCTCATGCCATAGCTGCGTGCCAGCTTTTCTTTAACGGATAAAAGAAGAAGAGGCGTTGACGGCAAAGTTAATCCTCTACCCGTTCCCTTGCCATAACCGCTTAAAGCTTCCCGTACAATTAAATAATGCGGAGAGAGACACGAACATCTTTTTGAAGACCATTATATCCCTAACAAAATTCATGTTTATATAATTGTAGAGATACTCATATGAATTAACATTTGAGCATATTAAAGATTTATGAATTTTTCGATACTCATTTTGTAAATTGTGTATGCTCATTTAATATTGATGTAATACTCATTTTAAAATATCATATTCATGCATATTGGTGTAATGCTCATTTTAAATTTTCAGATGCTCATTTTGTAAGCTGTGTATGCTCATTTAATAATTGAGCACACTAAAGATTTTAAATGATTTTTTTGAATTTTTCGATGCTCATTTAGTAAGTTATGTATGCTCATTTGGTGTTGGTGTATGTGTGACACCGCACCCGAACGTCCTTGAAAATTCGATTTAAAAATTTAACATTTATGTATTGAATTTCCGATTGCCAAACAATTGTAAAACGATTAATGTTTTACGTAGTGCATGACTGAATATCGTACTGTTCAAATTCGTATGATAGTGTCGGGTTTGCAAACACTTTTCGGGACACAAATAAAAGAGCTCAACATTATCTAAATAAGTGATCGAATGATTAAAGAAGAATACCAATGCCTACAACCCTATCTTTGGCATTTTTGAGCTAAATAATGGGAGTATGATTTTCCTTCTATAATATCCATCAAGTAAATTATTGGGATGAGCCTACACATATTGGAGATCAATAATGTGATTTAGGAAGTTGACTTGTTCTAAATAAATTAGGATGAGTACAAAAAGACATCTTTGACAAAGATAAAACAATAGGACCCATCTTTCCATTTTTGGAAGTATTGGTAGATATTTTGGACCTCAAATTGATTGGGATCAATTGGGGGGGCATCCCATGTGGCTTGAGTACCTGCAAGACAAGGAAAATATGTGAGAAGACTCACCTTGGTCGCACCACATGGAGAAGCATTGCCCATGACACAATTGGGATCAAATTTTGGGGCCACCACCACTGTTTTCGCACAAATAGGTGTGCTGTTTTGTCTCCCTTCATTTTGAGAGTTGTACTCGCCCAAATAGCTTGATTAAGGTGTCCTTGGATAGCCTTTGAAGTCTATTTTCATTATTGAGTGGTCTCTGTTCGAGAGGATAGGGGAATCACACAAAAGTCGAGCGGAAGTGAGAAGGGGTCTGTAAACTCGAGCTCTGAGGGTGCTGAAGCTGTTTGGTGGATATCTCGAGTTATACCAATCCAATCAGGGCGTATGAGATACCAAAAGAAAGCTATCAAGACGAGGAATCCGTGAAGGTCTGGTTTGCATCAATCGGAGTAGTGGAAGGCTTCCAAATCGTCCGAGCAAAACGAAACCTCGCAGAAACGGATCTACTCCTCTAAAGTGAGTTGTTAACCCCAAAACCCTTCCTTTCATTTTCCAAATGATATGAACGATTGGTGGGGCTATTGTACACTATTCCAAGTGTATAATATGTCCTTGTAAAGTTATTTTATTGATGTAAAGGTTGGATACTAACCTAGAGCAAATATTGGAAAACTAGGAATCGAGTTAGCCGGAAAACACCCGTTCTAGGGGGCTGTTTTCGTGTCAACGGTTAGGGGTTGAAATAGCAACTTGAGGAGGCTGTTTAACACCCATTTTCAAGCAAGGAACCAGTTCTCAATCTTCCTTGGCCGAGGCTTTGGTCATTGGATCGAGAAGGAAGGTTTTAAAGCTCATTTGAGGTGAGGACCGACATCTAGTTGCTTACAACTTGTAGGTTATGCATGAGATTACCTAAATGCTTGAATCATGTTTTTGTGAATAAATATGCTTGAACATGATATGAATGATAAGTAATGGACTTGACCATGAATTGAAACCATATTGATGAATATGGAGTCATGTGAGATAAAAGTATGCTAATATGGTAAATTGACCTTCCAACTCATGTATGAATGTTATGTGTATGTAAATGTATAATTTCATGATGATGCTTAGCACATGGGAGTCTGCCACATATCTATTGATATGGAGGGGCTACCATTTATGATAAATGAGTTGTAGGAATAATCTTAATAGTATTGTGATGCTAGTTAAGGATTGTTCAAAATGTTGATAGAATCAAACTTAAGGTTTGAGTTGTTTGTGATGAACTTGAATAAGATTCAAGTGTCAAGTGTGATTGTATGAAGTGGGAGATCTATGGTGTGATTATATGAAGTAGGAGATCTATGGTGTGATTATATGAAGTAGGAGATCTATGGTGGGATTGTATGAAGTAGGAGATCTATGGGGTGAATACATGAAGTAGGAGATCTATGGTATGATTATATGAAGTAGGAGATCTATGATGCGAGTGCATGATGATGTACTCGAGCCTAACTCTAGAAATGAGAAGTTATATTAGGGTTGGACCCTATGTATTGTCGTGACTATTAGTCACGGGGGTTGGGAAATGTTTTATAACAAACACGGGCCTTTGAGCCGACTACTTGACTTTATATAAAGTAAGTATGTATTTTGAAAGGGGTAATCTGGGATTACGGCCTATACTATATTATCACCCTATTTGAGGGTCTTGTGTGTGAAATACTTGTTGTATATCTATTAGATGCCTGCCACACCAGCACTTTATAGCCCTATAGAGTGCTGACCCCTTCGGGGGCGTCCCACCACCATTTTTCAGGTTGAGGCTAGAGCTTGCTTCCTGTGCTCGTTGCTCGAGAGATCATATAGGAGGGAAGACTTGGTTCGTGCTTCCTCCATTCTGTTTTTAAACCTTTCTAAACATGCTCATGGATATTTTACTATGGAGCCTGCGTGCTCATGAAATGCCTTGTGTGGCCCTTTTGTTTTAAACAATGTTTCCGCTGCGTTATGAATTACTTATTATGTTTGTTTATGGATGTATATGTGTGAATGATATTCAAGACGCCTTGTATAATATGAATGTGTTGGACTGCGGTTGACTATTCGTATTGTACGGCGGGTTGTTGACGTGTCCGGATAGGTCCGGGGCGTGACAATTAAGTTGGTATCAGAGCCTTAGTCCATAAACTTCATAATGAAGTCTCAAAACTCTCTATTTCAAAATGATTTTGAAAACCATGAGCATAAACGTTTTGTACTTAAGAACTTTTGGTGTTTGAGTTGCAAGGTCTCTAATTGTTAAGATGGCGCCCTTAACGATTGGTATGGCGGCGACTTGGCCCAAGAGATGTCTTAAGTACCTATCTGTCAGTTGACATTTGAAACGAGTCTAATGACTCATTCCAATTATTTCTTTCAGTGATGGAGGGTGATTGTGGTACTATGAATAGGGAGAACTCGGAAGGGTTTGCACCGGGTGGAACCGGGCATGCCAACCGAGAAAAGCCCGTAGGAATAAAGGTTCACGAAATTCTAGAAGCTCAAATCGTGAGTGGCGGTCATGTTAGAACCAATGAAGAATCACCTTGTCATAGCAAAATTGAAACACTCAAGGCTTCGGGTGACGAGGGAGATGATTTGAGTGATGAGAACCTTGATGGTGCACCCATTGAACAAATGGGCATGGTCATAGATTGGCTTCAACGTGAACGTGTGAGGCTTATACAAAAACGCCAAGCTAGGCAAGCTGAGGGCATACCGTTAGTAAGGAAAAGGAGGTGGGGAGACAACGATTCCCAAAGACATTCAAGAAGGACAAACGTTGAGGGTGACAAAACCTTCAGGGCGCAGACACTATCACTTGAGTGGAGTCGGGGCTCGGGTGGCCAGAACTCGAGGTCAAAGGGTCCGAGGGTACCTAGGTGCAACAATTGCAAGAAACACCACTCGGGTAAGTGTCACGACCCTCCTAAGTGCTATCATTGCACAGAGGTCGGGCACACGAGAGTGAGCTGCCCACAAATTGTGCAAAACCAAACTTCGGGGTCAAGTGGTGGAACTACAAGAAATGAAAACCAAACCGAGGTTTCTCAAGGGAGCAGGGGACATGGGGGAGCAAGCACGAGCAATGCCCCATCCGTGAACCAAGGAAGGACCCAAGCTAGGGTCTATGCGATGACAGAGGCGGATGCTCAAGCTAACCCGGATTCCGTTGCAGGTATTGCCTCCCGTATACTAATGTTTTATCCTTAATTAGTCCATAAATTAAGGTTACTAATCGTTGGGATCATTGCACGAAATTTTGGGATCAAACGGAGCGAAATCGGGCGAAAGACGGCTGATTTCCGCCAACGCACACCAGGCTGGACCATACGCACGGCCGTGCGTTGTCCGTGCGTTGGTGGCAGTAGCAACCGGGAAGAAATTGCTATACGCACGGCCGTGCGTTGTCCGTGCGTTGGTCCGTGCGTTGGTGGCAGTAGCAACCGGGAAGAAATTGCTATACGCACGGATGTGCGTTGCCCGTGCGTTGGTCCGTGCGTTGGTGGCAGTAGCTCCGTTTTGAGGTTATAAGACACGCACGCCGTGCGTACCTCCTAGGCATGCCGTGCGTACCTCCTGGACAGCCCAAAGTCGACTTTTTCGCGCCGTATTGCAACGTTAAGACCCGTTCTTGATCCCAAACACGTGTGTGAACATAATAAACCTCTCTAAATGAGTAGGGAGGGTAGGAAAGATGTCTTACATGGTTCATGAATGTAGGGACACTAAAGATTAATGGGAAGGATGCGCGAATCCTTATCGATACCGGGGCGCAACGTTCATTTGTGAATGAAGCGTTCGCCAAGAGTTTGGAAGTGCAATCCGCACCATTGATGCAAACCTTAGTGGTATCAACACCACTAGGGGATGACGTGGAAACAACTCATTACTATCCATCTTGTGGGGTGGAAGTTAATGGTCAAACCTTGACGTGTGACTTCGTACCGCTGAGCATGATTGAATTCGATGCAATCCTAGGGTTGGATTGGCTAGAAAGGAACCATGCTAGGGTAGATTGCTACACGAAGGTTCTTAAACTCGAAGGCAATGATGGGGAGACCCTACGCTTCGAGGGCGATCGAGGGAGATCAAATAGCTGTATCATATCCGCCGTGAGAGCGAGAAGTATGATGAGAAAGGGATGCCACGCATATCTAGCATACGTGGTTGGCAAAACCAAAGAGGAAACGAACATCGATGATGTGAGGGTGGTTTGTAAGTATCCGGATGTCTTCCCTAAAGACCTACCGGGGCTTCCACCTGGTAGGGAGATTGAATTTGTGATCGAGGTCGAGCCTGGTACCAAACCAATCTCCATACCGCCATACCGTATGGCACCCGCTGAACTTAACGAGTTGAAAACCCAATTGCAAGAGCTTTTGGATAATGGTTTCATTAGATCAAGCCACTCCCCGTGGGGAGCACCAGTTCTTTTTGTGAAAAAGAAAGATGGGACACTTCGAATGTGTATTGACTATCATCAACTGAACAAGGTCACAATCAAGAATAGGTATCCCTTGCCTAGGATTGATGACTTGTTTGATCAACTACGAGTGGCGACTATGTTTTCAAAGATTGACTTGAGGTCGGGTTACCATCAAACGAAGATTAAGGAAGATGACATACCAAAAAGTGCTTTTCGCACAAGGTATGAGCACTTTGAATTCCTTGTTATGTCGTTTGGGTTAACAAACGCCCCAGCGGCATTCATGGACTTGGTGAATCGAGTATTTCATATATACTTGGACCGATTTGTGATTGTGTTCATATATGACATCTTAATTTACTCAAGGAGTGAAGAAGAACATGAGCGGCACTTGGTCCTGGATCTTGAAACACTACGAGAGAAGCAATTTTGCGCCAAGTTCTCTAAGTGCGAGTTTTGGCTTAAAGAGATTGGCTTTCTTGGGCATGTAGTTTCTGAGTCAGGCATTGCCGTGGATAACAAGAAGATTGGGGCTATCACATAATGGGAAAGGCCTAAGAACGTGAAGGAGATTCGTAGTTTCCTCGGGCTAGCGGGTTACTACAGATAATTCGTGGAGAAGTTCTCAGTTTTAGCATCGCCATTGACGAAGCTCACTCGAAAGGGAGCTAAGTTTATATGGGATGACAAATGTGAGAAAGGATTCATCGAACTGAAGAAGAGATTGACCGAGGCACCGGTACTTGCATTACCCAAACAGGGTGTGGGGTACGATGTCTATAGTGACGCGAGCATCCAAGGGTTTGGGTGTGCGTTGATGCAGGAGGGGAGGGTAACTGCCTATGCTTCACGACAGTTGAAGAAGCATGAGGTAAAATTATCCTACCCATGATCTGGAGCTGGGAGCAGTAGTGTTTGCACTGAAGAATTGAAGACATTATCTCTACGGAGAGACATGTCACATATATACTGATCATAAGAGCTTGAAGTACGTGTTTACTCAAAAATAGTTAAACATGAGACAGAGACGGTGGATGGAGTCGATAAAGGACTACCATCTAGTTATTGAGTACCATCCAGGTAAGGCAAACGTTGTAGCAGTTGCCCTTAGTCGGAAGAGTTCGTCTGGGGCATTGTTGACTAGTTTGAGGGCACTGAGGGCCCAATTGGATGTATCTAGCGACGGTGCCTTATTAGCACGGTTCGAGGTGAGCCGACCTTACTTGATGAGATCAAGAAGGGTCAAGAGACTGACGTAGAACTTATAAAGGCCCGGGAACACATGCAAGCGGGACCGGTGGAGCATTTCAGGGAAAGAGATGATAGTCTCTTGTTATTTCGTGACCTAGTGTGTGTACCGTCAGATGATGAGCTCTGAAAGTCCATCTTAGAGGAGGCTCATTCATCGGCTTATACCATGCACCCCGGGGGGCACGAAAATGTATCGTGATTTGAAAGAAAGTTACTTGTGGTCTGGTATGAAGAGGGAAATAGCTGAATACATTAGTCGATGCCTTACTTGTCAGCAAGTTAAGGCAGAACATCAGCATCCAGCAGGCTTGTTACAACCACTTTCCATTCCTGAATGGAAGTGGGAACATGTGACTATGGATTTCGTGGTAGGTTTACCACGAACAATTCGGAACTATGATGCAGTTTGGGTTGTTGTGGCTAGGCTCACGAAGAGTGCACACTTCTTGCCTATCAACACTACCTACCCACTTGAGAGGTTAGCCGAATTGTATACGGATGAGATCGTGAGGCTGCATGGGGTCCCAGTGACCATTGTATCCGATAGAGACCCACGATTCACATCACGTTTTGGCCGGAATTCCAGGAGTCTATGGGAACGAGGTTGAAGTTCAGTACTGCTTTCCATCCACAGACGGATGGGCAGTCTGAAAGGGTTATACAGATCTTAGAGGATATGCTGAGGGCTTGTGCGTTAGAGTTCCAAGGAAGTTGGGACAACCACTTATCACTCGTGGAGTTTGCCTATAACAACAGTTATCAGGCAAGTATCGGCATGCCTCCATATGAAGCATCGTATGGGAGGAGGTGTCGTACACCGTTATGCTGAGACGAGGTTGGCATGGCCAAACTCGAGGGTACTGAGTTGGTTGAGATCACCAAGTCAAGGGTGAAGTTGATTCGAGAGAGACTCAAAGCGGCTCAGGATAGACAAAAGAGTTATGCAAATAAGCGTCGAAGAACCTTAGAGTTTAAGGTTGAGGACGAGGTATTCTTGAAAGTTTCTCCTTGGAAAGGAATCATTCGATTCCAAACCCGAGGAAAGCTTAACCCACGATACATAGGTCCATTCAGAATTATAGAGAGGATTAGGGCCGTTGCATATCGTCTACAGTTGACTTCTGAATTAGAGAAGATACATAATGTGTTTCATGTATCCATGCTTAAGAAGTATGTACATGATCCCTCCCACGTATTGGAAAAGCCGCCTGTAGAGGTACGTGAGGATTTGAACTACGCTGTGCAACCAATCAAGGTCACCGATAGAAAGGTGAAGAAACTGAGGAGCAAAGAAGTCCCAATGGTTAAAGTCCTTTGGAAGAGCGATCGGGTCAAAGAAGAGACATGGGAAACAGAGGCCTTGATGAGGAAGCAGTACGCTTCTCTATTCGAGTAGAGCTGTGAATTTCGGGGACGAAATTCCTGTTAAGGGGGGGTGAACTTGTGACACCGCACCCGAACGTCCTTGAAAATTCGATTTAAAAATTTAACATTTATGTATTGAATTTCCGATTGCCAAACAATTGTAAAACGATTAATGTTTTACGTAGTGCATGACTGAATATCGTACTGTTCAAATTCGTATGATAGTGTCGGGTTTGCAAACACTTTTCGGGACACAAATAAAAGAGCTCAACATTATCTAAATAAGTGATCGAATGATTAAAGAAGAATACCAATGCCTACAACCCTATCTTTGGCATTTTTGAGCTAAATAATGGGAGTATGATTTTCCTTCTATAATATCCATCAAGTAAATTATTGGGATGAGCCTACACATATTGGAGATCAATAATGTGATTTAGGAAGTTGACTTGTTCTAAATAAATTAGGATGAGTACAAAAAGACATCTTTGACAAAGATAAAACAATAGGACCCATCTTTCCATTTTTGGAAGTATTGGTAGATATTTTGGACCTCAAATTGATTGGGATCAATTGGGGGGGCATCCCATGTGGCTTGAGTACCTGCAAGACAAGGAAAATATGTGAGAAGACTCACCTTGGTCGCACCACATGGAGAAGCATTGCCCATGACACAATTGGGATCAAATTTTGGGGCCACCACCACTGTTTTCGCACAAATAGGTGTGCTGTTTTGTCTCCCTTCATTTTGAGAGTTGTACTCGCCCAAATAGCTTGATTAAGGTGTCCTTGGATAGCCTTTGAAGTCTATTTTCATTATTGAGTGGTCTCTGTTCGAGAGGATAGGGGAATCACACAAAAGTCGAGCGGAAGTGAGAAGGGGTCTGTAAACTCGAGCTCTGAGGGTGCTGAAGCTGTTTGGTGGATATCTCGAGTTATACCAATCCAATCAGGGCGTATGAGATACCAAAAGAAAGCTATCAAGACGAGGAATCCGTGAAGGTCTGGTTTGCATCAATCGGAGTAGTGGAAGGCTTCCAAATCGTCCGAGCAAAACGAAACCTCGCAGAAACGGATCTACTCCTCTAAAGTGAGTTGTT